AGGGTTTAGGGTTTAGGGGGTTAAACTTTCAGATTACTATTAAATTATAAGAACCCAAAAAGGTTAAAAAGGGTTCGGTATTGCAGAACGAAGTTGCTGGACGTCGGACCAGATCTCTTCGGCGACCTCCCGTTTTTTTTTTTTTGTCTGGGGGGGTCTCTTAGAGCTTATAGGGGTTTAGGATTGGGGGTTTGAGGGCTGGGGAAGCTTTGGGGTGCAGGGTTTAGGATTTTGTTTGGGGGTTTTGAAGGCGAATTCGGGGAGCTTTGGGTTGAAAATTGGATCCCAAGAGCCGGCAGCAATAAACCCAAGAGCCCAAGAGGGCCCTGAACGTTGGATTGTTAGGGTTTAGGGCGTTTAGGGCAAAGTTTAGGGTTTAGGGTGTTAGACAGTGTTAGATCGTACATCCGGGGCGTGATGAGAACTAGGCAGCACGCAAAAGCACGAGGCGTTGAGAATGCTTCTCTACTTCTGACCGCCCGCTTGACTGCCAAGGCCTGTGGAATCGGAGTCTCGACCGATTGAGCATACAAAGTTGCGAGCTTCTGGCTTCCTTCTTTGGTGCTTTCCGACAAGGGTAACATTACAAACCATGAAGTAGGTCATCCGAAACAAGGAATCGAAGAGGTATTCGTAGAGCTCCCATGCAAAGCTAGGGACTGTGTGCTTCATCTGGGACTCCGACAATACGAGTTCAACAACCGGCGAAGAGGATGACTTCTTCCAGCAAAATTTATGCGCAGCTCGCACTGAGTGGCTATGGAGCTGTATTTCCGGCCATACGGTGTGATAGATTCTCGCAAGAATTGCCCGATTCAGGACGATGCCCCACACTCTGATCCGTGAGCATCTCTTGCTCTTCAAACAACAACGGCCGCCAGAATTCCCAAGGGACAATACATGGCTTTCTGTAACTATCAACGCGCTTGCTTTTACCATCGACTCACAGTTCCGGCCTCCATCCAATAGGAGATAGCGCCTGCATCGTTAGAGAGGCGCTTCCGCGGTGCACGACAGGACCGGCATGCACACTGAAACTGTGGGCTTGGCTTGCAAACAGCTGTGGCTTTTGCTGGGTCTTGGGCAGGAGGCTTTTGCGGCTCTTCTACCAGCAAGCAGTCGCTGCATCCGCAGGCTTTTCGGGAAAGGAATGATCATTACGGCAGCGTTCCGATAATCAGCACTACCAAGCTTTATCCATCACACCGAATCAGAACTGCTTGGTTCCACACCAAACAATTTGAGCTGGGACACCGTAGTGGTATTCCAGCACGGCCAGCGCACCGCAGAGGATGAGCACACCAACCTTGGCGAGGGTTTCCCCTTTAGCAAGCGTTTGCCTTAGTAGACCCCAAGCCCCAACCCTAAGGGTCCATGTACTCATATAGGATATACATGGGCCCTAAAGTACCCATATAGGGACTACATTAAGGCCAATGTATATACTATATGAGCACATGGACCCTTAGGGAAAGATATAAACACCTGAAAGCCGAGTTGTAGCCTGGGGGTATCAGGAATCAAGACAAGCACGGCCAGGAACGTGAATGCTACAGAAAGTCTTCACTGCACATTGCGACAGCCGCAGTACGGACGAAGCTACTGCAAAGATCATGTCAGGAACTGCCTACGGCAAAAACTAGATTCATGGAAACGAGACCGTAGAACAGCAAATTAATGAAGCGACGAACGACCACATAACATGTCGCTTTAACCCAGCGACCGTCTAGTCGCCGCAGGACGGAAGTTGGAATGGCGGGATGTAATAGCATTGGTGGCAGCAGCAACGGCAGTAGCAGCGGCAGTGACAGCGGCAGTGGCAGCGACAGTCGAGATAGGAGTAGAGTAATAGTAGTAGTAGTAGTAGTCGTCCTCGTCGTCGTCGTAGTAAGTAGTAGTAGTAGTAGTAGTAGTAGTAGTAGTTGTTGTTGTCGTAGCAGTAGCAGT